AGGATCATTTTACTGAAATATTATATGCAAAACCCATTGACTGGTTTGGCCTTCTCAGAATTGCGAAGGTACATTAAGAAAATCCTTACAACCGAGAAAAATTCATTCATCCTTCAATAACAATCTGAAAGAAAGAGAAAATTGCTGAAGGAAATTCTGACAGAGGCTTGAAGTTTCTAAATCAACACTTACAGCATGAAACTATTGCATTTTTAGCAGGCACTTGTTGCAGCCTGCCAGCTTACATAGATGCAGTTAAAAGGGGGAAGATTTTACTAAATTCTGAAAATTAAATCCTTACATGATCATTTGGCAACAGATAATGAGTTAGCAAGATCTTGGTTGGCAATAGAGTCCCCAAGGCTGTTGCTCTTTGAGGATTTCAATCTTCCATTGTTCATATCTACCATTTGTTCTGCTGCAGCAGCATCGTAACTTTGAACAGCCATTGAATGAATGGTATTAAATACGACCTGTACTATCATCTGAAACTGAACCAGGTAAATTGTGAAATACACTAAAATCCCCTAACGCTTTCCCAAAAAAAACTCCACAGTGGAGCAGGAAACTGCCAATCAACTAAACAGGGAATTGTATGGAAATTATTCTAGGGAAAGTGGTATTGAAAGCATTGTCATTTAAAAGAAACCCATGTTCCCAGGGCCTTTGCTGGAATTACACATGCTGCTAAAACATAATGGGGGTGTTTTGGTTGGTTTAAGGCAATGTGCGAATATAGCCATTGTTGCCGATGCACCAAGGTTTATATTCTAATGTTATGTGTAAACATAGCTAGCATATTTTATGCAATAGTGTTTAACTTAACTGTAATTTGAACTCAAACAGATTATTAAGATATAAATATTTGCAATCACATTACTATTTGTGTACTACAGTATTTAGCTTTCTGCATAATTATCTTCAAAAGTGATTTCTCAATAAGGAAAACAACGTAATCATACACAATAAATTAAAACAATATAAATCACATTAATTAAAAGGGAAAAAGGAAAAGACCAATTCTTCCGTAACATTGACTTAGTGAATGTTTTGGTGAAAAGATTGATTCCTCAGTGATATAGCTGCTGGTGCCTTATGGATTTCAGCAAGGAAATTATGCAGAGATCATGTCAAGGTAGAACCTTGTCAAGTAGATTGAACCAGATCTATCATGAAAAAGCATCGCTTAGACCAGTGGTTCTCAACCTTCCTAATGCAGTTAGGAATACAGTTAATACAGTTCCTCATGTTGTGGTGACCCTCAATCCATAAAATTAGTCCTTGACTTACAACAGTTTGCTTAGTGACTGTTCAAAGTTACAACGGCATTGAAAAAAGTGACTTATGACCATTTTTCACACTTATGACCGTTGCAGCATCCCCAGGGTCATGTGATTTACATTCGGGTGCTTGGCAACCGATTCATATTTATGATGGTCACATTGTTCCAGGGTCATGTGATCACCTTTTGCAACCTTCTGACTAGCAAAGTTAGTGGGGAAACCAGATTCACTTAAGAACCGTGTTACTAATTTAATCTCTCTCTCTCTTTCTCTTTCTTTCTCTCTACCCCTCTCTCTCCCTTTCTCTCTCTTCCTCTTTATTTCTTTCTCCCTCTCTTTCTCTCTCCCTCTCTCTCTCCCTTCCCCCTCTCTCTCCCTTTCTTTCTCCCGCTTTCCCTCTCTTTCTCTCTCCCCTTCTCTCTTCTTCTCTATTTCTCTCTCCCTCTCTCTCCCTTTCTCTTTCTCTCTTTCTCTCTCTCTCTCCCTCTCTCTCCCTTTCTCTTTCTCCCTATTTCTATTTCTTTCTCCCTCTCTCTCTCTCCATCTCTCCCTCTCTTCCTCTCTATTTCTCTCTCCCTCTTTCTCTCTCTCCCTCCCTTTCTCCTCCTTCCTCCCTCCCTCTCTCTCTCTCCGATCGGGGATCGATTTGGAGGTGGGGAGGGGAGTGGTCGAGGGCTACCTGTGTGACCTTGAAGCTGACAGCAGCCTACCAAGCGGCATGCAGGACTCCGGCGCACCCTAGGACTGCCCGTCGGCGCCTGGTTAGAGCAGATGGTTGGCACTCCATTGTGGCTGGCTCCGGCGGGGCAGGGATTCCCTGGCATCATGGAACATGGGGCGGCAACGTCACCAATGGGTGGGGTATCCTGAGCCTGCCAGCGCCTGGTTGAAGCAACTGGCTGGTGCTCTGTTGTAGCTGGCTCTGGCGGCGGCGGCAGGGATCCCCCACAGCTTGTGGCTTCTGCTGCGGTGCCCAGATCGGTTTCCCACCATGTGGGCATTGGAATGTTTGATTGGTATCGGAGCTCAGTACCCCGAATCACCATCAGATGCCTATCATGGTCAGCCAGCCTGAGCCAACGAGGTGCCGCCGCCACAGCCTGAGACTGCGCTACGCCTGACAGGTAGCACATAGTGGCCAATGAGTGCTGGGTGGGGGGTGGCTACTGAGTGTGCGGCACCATTGTGGCCACTTCGATCGGTATCGGGAGTGGGGAGCAGAGAGCTGAGCTTAGCGAGCCTGGAGCAAGGGAGCAGCCCTCCCCGCCCACGGCTGGCCCCGAGTCACCGTTCTGATCAGCATCAGCAAAACAAATGTGGGCCTCGATTCCCACCTGCTGCCGTGGGATGAGTCCTCCGGGAGGGTGCGCGCCATCTGGCTGCTTTGCTTTCCCCTCCGTAAAGCCGGGCACCTTGGGGAGAGGGGGAAAAGCCTTGAGCCCCGGGAGGCAACGTGAGGGCTATGAGGGCTATCGCAAGCTCGTGGGAGGGGGAAAAAATGGAAGAGAGTGAGGCCGCAACAGAGAGAGAGAGAGAAGGCGGAAAAGAAGGGGGCAGTTGTGAGGTTGGCTCTCAGAGCCGCAACGCAAGCGGTCTCAAACAGCTACCTGTGAGTGGATGGCTCTGCCCCCTTCAGGCTCACGCTTGCTTCTGAAGTAAGAAGAGGGGAGGAAAGGTGACACGGATCCTGCACAATGAGTCCCTGGGGAGGGTGGGGCCTCACTCTGAGCCTGCGCTCTTCGCGCACCCTCAGTAGGGTTCCTGCAGGCCGTCGCCAAGCAGGTTGTTTTCAATTTCAACAAGCAAGTGAGCTGTGAAGGAGGGGGGAGGAAGGTGACGCCTTGGGGGGAGAGGTAGGGGGGGAGGAAAAGCCCTGTCTTAGCTGACCCCTGTGAAACGGTCATTCGACCCCCAAAGGGGTCGCGACCCACTGGTTGACAACCGCTGGCTTTGACTATTTTATGCAGAAGTAAAACATTGAATCTGGATTGTGAGCTAACTGAGAGCCAAATTGGTCTAGTCAGTTGCGGCTGAGCCAAAAAAGCAGGAAAGCAGGAGACTGTGAGTTCAAATCCTTCCTCAGCTATGAAAGCCAGCCAAATAACCTTGGACCAGTCACTCTCAGCCCAACTCACCTCACAAAGTTGTTGTTGTGGGGAAAATAGGAAGAGGAAGGTGTGTTGGATGTTTGCCACTTAGAGTTATTTCTAAAAATAATAAAGGTGGGATATAAATAAAAATCACTTTAATAAATAAATAATGACTTAATAGCCACCCCCAACACCCTAATTAAGAACTATACACAACCAGGCACCATATAAGTACAACATGTAGAACAGCCCAGTGCACATATTCTGGAGAGAGAGAAGTTCCCAGCATGAGCCCAAAAGCTTGAAAAAATAAACCTTTGGTTCTGGTGACTGACTCAGATCGGATCCTGCAACAAGTAAATAATTGGCAGCCAGTACAATTGCTTCAACAGAGGTATAATATATGAATATCTGCATGTCTCCTTCAATAACATGACTATTATATTTTGTGCATGTGTAATTTTTATTAAAAAATTTTTTACAAAGAAACAAAATTTTGAAATAAAAAAGAAAAGTAAAGAAAAATAATAAGTAATTTAAAAAAATATAAAGAAAGAAATAGTAAAAATGAAAGGAAAAGTTATAAAGAAGCACCTTCTAATCTTCCTAACAGCAGTTGCATTTGTATTTTGCCCTCTCACGCTAAGGTTACAACGTAATTTCCTGTGGCCACCATATTTTGCATCAACTACGACTTTTGGATGAAACACAGTTACAGTAATCTATACTTGAGGTGACCAGTACATGAACAACAGAAACTGTCTTTCCCTATCTAGGAACTCTAGAAGTGACATCCCATTTAGGACAGGAAGAATCTCCACTTCCAGGGATCATTTACCTGGATAGTTTCTGTCTTGTTTGTTGGCCTTCAACCCTCTCATCATCTTGTCCAAATACTAATTCAAAATATGCAGTCTATTATTCAGATAGTTTATATTAGGACTCTGTGTACTTTGGAAGAAGCACTTTGGATCTGGCATGACTGAATCACTTCCTTGCTATATATTAAAGTAGTCTGATTTTTTTCTAACCTGAAATAAATATTGTTGTTTTAAAGAATCCACTCATTAAAGTTAATGTTACTCTTAGAGCAGCTCCATCTGTTTTTCAAGCTCAGATGGAGACCTGAAAAAGTGGAGTTCCTTTAATGAAAGCTAATAAAATTCTTTGCTTGTGCAAAGTTGAAAAAAATGATTTGAATAACTTTTGAAACTAACTAGAATTGAGTATCCACAGCATAGTGATAACTCAACATCTCAAAATATGTTAATGTTAATTACTATTTTGGACAACATAAAACCTTGAGGTAGCACAAACAGTAGCTCAGGGGTGTCAAACTGCCGGCCCGCGGGCCGGATGCATCATAACGAAACCGTGCCCGCCCCTATTGCCAGCAATGGCAAAAAAAGTTGTGATACGTCGCGACAGTCACATGACGTTGCGAGTTTGACACCCCTGCAGTAGCTAATTTCTGAGATCAACACTAAAAATAGGAAATGAACCACTATAATACAGCACTCCCAGTTCCCAGGCATAACCTTGATCAATGAGATCGAAACTACATACTGAAAACAAAGCAGGATCAATCAGTCATATTCCCTCTGTCTTTCTCTTGCAGGAAATCATCTGTCAAGGTCACTTAGGCTGATTCTGTCCCCAACCATGCCTAAATTTCATTTAAAAGAATCAATGTAATCAATTTCTTCTAAGAATATATAAAGCAATGCTGACATCACCCTCTCAAGCATGTTGCCTTAGCAAAGGACATATGTATCAGCAATAGTTGGAATAATCCTTAGACCTAAGGAGGGCTTATTTAGAAGAGGATAGGCAACCAGCTGCTATCACTAGATCACAGAAAGACATATTCACCACTCTGTGGATCCACTTAGTCACCCTTCTTTGGATTTTTTTAAAAAAATCAAGACTGGCAGGGTTCAAGAGGATACATATTAGCATTTTGTCCATGTCTTCTGCCTCGGATGTTGAAAATGGTTCCATATGATTAAGTCAAGTGATGAACTTTATACCTCAATATTAAAACCATGTTAAAATTGGCATGAAGATGAATGACACTTATCACCAAAGTGCCTTTGCAGATCTGTCACAGGAGGTTCTGGAGGTCTCTAGCATGTTTTACAGGTATATAACTTTTTAATCACTCTAAAAAGTTCCCTCGGGTAACTACTCGAGGATGCAATGGAAAGCAAAATTATATACATGATCAATTAATGGCAAGCTACTATTCACCTTCTAGCTATCTCTCATATCATTTTACTACCCAGTGTTATCCCAGAAAATTTTGCTCCAGAACACTAAGAGGGTTCTTAAGAATGATCTTCTCAGTGGTCCATTTTGTTTCACCACTACATAGAACAAAGGTCTTGACAGGATCTTCACTCAAGAGCTTCCAAAGACTGTGGAGACAAATTGTCTTTGTAACGATTCCTTTCCTATAAAAATAGAACAATATATTAAGAGCTGACTCTTAACATTCATCACCAGATAATGGCCGCATTATGATAGCAAGCAACTGTAATTCTTGCTTTGCAGTATCTGAACTATTTGCCCTAAGTCTAAAAGAAAAACAGCCAAGGATATTCCCTGCCTTATTTCTTTGTTTGATGAAACAAACCTATGGCTATCACATGAAATTTAAAGCTTCTTGAATAAGGACAGTCCCAACATACATTTTAAAAATGCTTATCATGGAATTCTGTTGAGTCCACCACAGTCAGCTTGTTTAGGAAAGTGGGCTGTATACTAATAGTAAACATAGTGTATCATTAACCAAACCCCAGGAAAAGGCTTTTATCATCTTTGAAGAAGTTTTCTGGTCAGTAAGATTTAATGGATCTCAATTCTTGCAGTCATAATTGATGCTGTTGAAAGAAAAAACTTCAGGTCCAGTTCCAAACTGGGAGTAAACAAAATGGAGGCTAAGGCACTGGAAATAAAAATGAAGGCTATTTGGAAAGAAGGTTTGTTTGTTGAAGAGCAGAAGAGCAACAGCATGCAGTTCTGGGACAGCTGACAAAATGGAGTTGGGAATGGGTGGGTTTTTATACCTTCTTTGGGCTTTGTATTTGAGATTGTTCCTGTTCCTGTACAATGTACTTTGACTTGAGCTTGGGTGTGTCCTTATGATATTCTAATGATGGTGGGTTAATCCTATTATGTCCTAAAGGTCATGTTCCTGTCCTTGGAGTCTTTGTTTTTCTAATCCCATCACCTCAAATCTTCTCTGGGGCTATGGCTGAAGGCATTTTGTTTATGAATAGGTGGTCCCAAATCTGCATTTTTAAAAGCTGGTCTGCTTGGGGGAAGGAGACTGGGGTCTGGTTTCTGCCTAATATTTTTCTCCATTATTCCTTTTGGAGAAATATAATATTCTGCCTGTTTTAATATCTCCCAAAATATTTCTAGGAGGGTAATTGCTGATTTCCAACAATTCTGTACTCAAAAAGGTTTGCAACACTTTATTCAGAGTAGTTACCCATCTTCTAGTAGTGCACACAAGGCTAGCTCTTTCATCTGCAATCATAGCATGTGGTAATTACCCTCAGAGAGCTGACTAAAATAGGAGAGAGCCAAACAGAACGCTGCTCTGCTATATATCTCTTCTGTCTTTTAAATATATTCCTCTCTCAGTTGCTAGTGATCATCCCCACTGGGATTTCTACTCTCTTCTACCCCATCTTTCCACTGCTGAGATATCTCCTGCATTCTTCACATTATTAACCTGGAAAAAAATGGGATGGGAATGTATAAAATAAAAATAAAATAAAAATCTCCTATTCAGAAACAATTCACCTTAAACTCTGTTTTTATGCATGATAAATGTATGGTTAGATGCACATTCTCATTTAGGACTCAACCCTCAGTAGGCTGGGGGATGAACTCAGAATCTCACTCTCTTTTCTTGGGAGCATCCACTGTTAAGTCCCCCTGAAACAGACCACCCTCATCATTTTCCAGAAAGTTCAAAGGGCCTGACTTCCACAGCAATTACCCAAATAGCTCCCCTGAAAAGGAAAATCTGCTTTAAAAGCAAAACTGCCCATTTCAGTCAGCCCCAAATGTAACTCTGCCAGTAGAACAGCTTTTGGTTGACACAGTGTTTAATCTGTAAATATATATGTATTTCTTTCAGGTACAAATATTTGCCTCGGAAACAGCATGTTGCAAGATGCGGTAAAGCCTTATACACTTAGCAAGGAAGGGACTATTCTTCATAATCAGACCGGGTCCCATGGATTTTCTACACTGCCATGCTATTATATCCTATGACATACAATCAAGATGAAACAGATTTGCTGAATTAAGCATAGCCCCTAATTATAATGGCTCAGAGAACTGAGTGGTACTGGAAGGTATAAGTAGCCCCAAAGACCTTCTGGACTGGAATGTTGGCAAACGATATGGCTAGTGGCTGCTTGTGCACCACCATCTCTCTTGATTCTCTCTGATTACTTTCTGGGGACCCAGAATAGGATGGATGATGGACTTGTAAAGGGAGGAGCTAATCTCCATGGAGCCTTCTCTTCCCACCCCGTGGGTACGGAATCCTTCCAGGATCAGAAAACTGCTTCAGACATCCCAAAGTTCTATGCTTCTCAATTCTAGCCTAGACACCAAGCCCAGAGATGTGGCCTCTGAGTCTGTGGGTCTCTTCTTCATGCTTTTGATTGATTTAACAGCTATTGTGAGCAATGTAGCAATTATGACAGTCATTATCAAAACCCCAGCACTGAGGAAGTTTGTTTTTGTGTTCCACCTCTGCTTGGTGGATCTTTTGGCTGCTATTACCCTAATGCCTCTAGCCATGCTATCCAGCTCAACTTTCTTTGATGGCACAGTCTTTGAGGATGCCATATGTCATACCTATCTCTTCCTGAGTGTTTGCTTCATCACCATGTGTATCCTTTCAATCTCAGCTATTAATATCGAGCGCTACTACTATGTGGTGCACCCCATGCGCTATGAGGTCAAAATGACTGTAAGCCTGGTGGTTTGTGTCCTGGTTGGTGTCTGGATCAAGGCAGTAGTTATGTCCATCATCCCTCTTCTGGGATGGCTTTCCCAAGACCGTATCAGTAGATCCCTAGCCTACAATGGACAAACCTGTTCCTTGCAGTGGAGCCGAAGTGCCTACTGCAAGTTTTTTGTGATTTTCTTTGCTCTTTTCTACTTCCTCCTGCCGGTCTCCATTATTTTGGTGGTCTACTGTAATATGTTTAAAGTGGCCAGAGTAGCTGCTATGCACCATGGTCCACTCCCCACTTGGATAGATACCCCACGGCAAAGGTCAGAATCTCTTAGTAGTAGATCCACAATGGTGACTAGCTCAGGAGCCCCTCGAACTACCCCCCAGAGGACGTTTGGGGGTGGAAAGGCTGTCATCATCCTCCTAGCAGTGGGGGGACAATTTCTCTTCTGCTGGTTGCCCTATTTCTCCTTCCATCTCTACTCAGTGCTGAGCTCCCATTTTCCTGGCCAGCAGACGGAGAATGTGGTCACTTGGATTGGTTATTTTTGTTTCACATCTAATCCTTTCTTCTATGGATGCCTCAACCGACAGATCAGAGGAGAGCTCAGCAAGCACCTCACCTGTTTTTTCAAGCAACCACCAGAGGAGGATCTCAGGTTACCCAGCAGAGAAGGCTCCATTGAGGAGAACTTCTTGCAATTCCTGCAAGGGACAGGTTGCCACCCTGAGGCCAGAAATGTTCTTACCCAGCCTAGCCCCAAAAGGGACCAAGCTACCATTGATTTCCGGATCCCAGGGCAAATTGCAGAAGAGACCTCAGAGTTCCTGGAGCAGCACATGAACAGCGATATCACTGCCTCTGATAACTACATCAGAGTAGCACATTCACCGAAGCCTGAGCTGTAGCTAGGTTTCTTTCTTCTTTTTTGCACTTGACAATCTTGATTTATCGATGTGTGAAATGCAGAATATAGCAGCTGAGGAAGAATGTGTATGTTTGTATATGGGGGAGTATTTAATAAATACACCATGGCAATTGGAACCCTTTCTCTCCAACGTGTTGCTCAAGCAAACCCACACACACAAAATCAGCTGCTATTAGTATCCAATTAATTTCATTTAATTTTGACTTGCTCACCCACCCCATCAACTCATTCCTAACCTTTGCAGTTAGAAACATCACTATTCCGAACATTTTCTTCTTTCTTTCGTTTGTTTGTTCCTTCATTTCTTCCCTCCCTCCTGTAGTAATTGTTATCTTCTGCTCTGGACTCCTTCCATCCACCTTCTAATCAAAGCTGTCTTTGACATGTAGGATTATAAATGAGAGGGCTCCCTGTTATTTGGGCTAGGCATGACTGAGCTACAAAAAGGCTCAGGGATAGGTAAAAGCAATAACTGGATGAACAACTGACTATGTGGTGGGAATACATTTTACAGTTCCACATTCTCCTGTTCTGAAGGATTACATTGTCTTACTATTAAAGAAGTCAACAAATCTAAACAAGTCACAGGAAGCTTCCTCTGTAGTTAAAAGTAAACAAGCCATGGATGATCTCAGTGGCTGGATTCTGTTGTTACGCTAAGCCAAAATAAAATAAACCACTTGGTTCAATGTAGACGGATTCTGGCCAATGTCAGAAATAGATTAGAACTATGACTTTAATTGCATTGAGTTTACATTAGTAAAATGAAGCCCATGATCTGGTTCATGCATTGCTTTAAGCATTACATACAGGTAGTCCTCCACTTTCCACCACAATGGAACCCAAAGTTTCCATTGTTAAGCAGGCCAGTTGTTGAGTGAGTTTTGCCCCATTTTACAACCTTTCTTGCCATAGTCGTTAAGTGAATCATTGCAGTTGTTAAATAACACAGCTGTTAAATGAATCTGGCTTCCCCATTGACTTTGCTTGTCAGAAGATCTTAAAAAGTGATCATATGACCTCAGGACACTGCAACCATCATAAATACATGCCGGTTACCAGGTGTCCAATTTTTGATTTTGGGGATGTTGCATCTATAGTAAGTATAAAAAACTGTCATAGCTCAGTTTTTTCTATGCTGTTGTATCTTTGAATGGTCACTAAATGAATGTAAGTCAAGGACTACCTGTAGTTTGCTTTGTTTGCAACCTATCATTACAGTTTGAATGCAATCAGAACAGTTAATAAATTGCACTGGATCACCTGGCAGAAAAAGACAGATACTGACTTTAATAGAATAAAATACACATGATATCTACTAATGACTTTCCTCATTTAGAGGTAACCCTCACCCCAATCTACTCGCAGTTTTTGTGCTGAAGCCTGGGGCTTTATGCTTATTGCCTCTCTCTCTCTCACTGTATTTGTACATGCGGAAAAAAAAAGGTTTTTGTATATATGATCCTCGTTACTTAGATCAGAAGTGGAATACCTACAGTTTTCTAGATATGGCTCAAAAACACATTTAGCTGTGTTACCATTGGCTACGCTGGGCAAGGATCCTGAGAGATGTTGTTCAGCAACAACTGGATGACCACCTGTTCCCTTAGTCTGTTTCATGCCCACCTAAGGTCATTGCTGCTTCTCATGGGCTATTTCATAGCCCCACTGCTTCTCTATTACCTATCCAGCACAATTTTTCTTTTTCCTGTGGGGCCTTCTGATAGCATATTACAATACTGGCCTAGAAGTCTAGGATTCCAGGAATGAATGAAAGCTTCCTAACTCCTTCTGTGTATCCAGTCCTACTACACATCCTTCCTGCTGTGGCACATCTTGTCTTAATTTGTGCTGTCTATTTGGGGTGCACTGAAACAATACCCATCCATAGAAAACTGTAGTTCAAACCCATTTGGGTGAATCACTTGTATAAGTTGGTGCCTCCTTTTCACCTGGGGTAGCTAGATTTTTAGCATAATTATAAAGAATTGCTGGTACTTCAGAAATAAACGTCTTTTCCTACTTCCTTCCTCAAATTAAGTAGTAGGTTGAAAAAACATTTGTTCAATTGCCTTTTTTTTCTTTGTAATTTGTTCGTTGTTGATCTCACATGAGTCCTGTGATTCATGAGGAAACAAAATATTATTTTTGAGCTGCAAACATTTTATTTTCAATAGTAAGTACTTTTGGCTCGGTTCTTCTGGATACAATAGCCTAAGACATCAAAAAATGAGCCTTCCATAATCTGGTGTCTTCTATCTGTGTAAGAAAATAAATTCCCAGCATTCCCTGCCAGCAGTGCCCATGCTTATTGAGAATTCTGGGAATTGCTTTCTCTAGAACAGGGCTTTTCAACCAGTGGTATGGGTACCACCTGTGGTACATTGGCACCTGGCAGATGGTACACGAGCATCCTAGAAAAGTAGTGGCAGCACCGCACAAGCTTGAGCGAGAGATGGCTGGAGCTGCAGGGCTGTCAGGGCTCAGCAGAAGCTCCAGGATCAGTGCCGCTTTCCAGCTGATTGGCACTTCTTTGGGACTGTCAGAGCTCAGTGGAAGCGCCAGGATCAGTGCCAGGATCAGCACCAGGCCCCAGCTGGAGCTCGGCGCTGATCCTGATGCTTCTGCTGAGCCCTGAAGAAGCACCAATCAGCTGGAATGTTGCCTTATCTCCAGAGTCTTGTGATTTACATTCAGATGCTTGGCAACTGATTCATATTTATGACGGTCACAGTGTCCCAGGGTCATGTGAAGTGACCAAAACCTGCTGCAACCACTCATCAGACGAGGGGGAAAAACCACACACACCCCACCCTACCCCCGTTGCCAATCCTCAACAGAAATGCTCACAACAATGGAAACCTCGGACAGGAGGAAGAGCACCACCAGGTGGGCAGGCAGGTGTCTTGCTCAGCTGTGACTTTATTTTTTCAGTGCCATTGTAAGTTCGAACAGTCACTAAGCGAACTATTGTAAGTTGAGGACTACCTGTACTTTCACTTTCTTCCTTTTTTGGGGGGGGTCATCAAGTTTTTGACACCTTACTAGGCGACTGGTGGTACTTGGATGTTGCCATATGCTAAAAGTGGTACAATGGGTGAAAAGGTTGAAAAGCCCTGCTCTAGAAGGTGCCAGATGGTGATATTAAGGCTACATGGTGTGCCAAATACTGTATATTAACAACTCTTAAGGAAGCAAAACTGGTCACTTCAGAGAGTATAGAAAAATGGACAAATACACCAGGAATTTGCAGTGCATAAGGGTATTCCCTAACTCTCATATAATAGTGCAACCCTGAGATCTCATCCACCAGGGATACGTTTTTCTGACCTAAAAATGCTCTGCAATGAAGTTTATGTGTGTCAAGAGCTGTTTCGTTTCAGTTTGTTGTGTTCATTTTTCCTTTTATATACTGTAGTCTTCGTTTGTTTGTTAGGCTCTGCCACATTAAAGTCTCAGGAAGCAAAAGAATGTTGAATGGTTATCAAAAGTTCAGTTGGAAATTGGCACAATACAATACAGCTAGGGGGGATTTAAATTATTTAAAAGAAGCAGACCAAATAAAAGAGCTTGAGTGCCAGTGCCATCCTGGCTTTTTTGACACCCCAAATTTCCCTAAGAATTTTCTACAGTTAGTGATGTTTGTGGCAAGGAGGTCTCTTTCTCAAATTAGTTCCCGCTTCAGGGCAGCCCTTCTTCCTAAAAATTACCGCAGCAAATAAATGCACAGCCTCTCTGTACGGCACTGAAGAATGGCTGTGAACATGATCCAGAAAAATCCTCTGTTTTTTCTTCAACAGGTAAAATATAGATAGAACCTAGCTGTATAGGTAGTCCTTGACTTATGACCACAGTTGAGACCAGAAGTTTCATTGTTTATCAAGGCAATTGTTAAGTGAGTTGTGCCTGATTTTATGCCACAGTTGTTAAGTGAATCACTGCAGTTTTTAAGTGAATCATGTAGTTGGTAAGTGAATCTGACTTCCCCCATTGACTTTCCTTGATGGATGCCAGTTGTGAAGGTCACAAATGCTGATCACGTGATCCTGGAATGCTGCAACCATCACAAATACATCCAGGTGGCCAAGTGTGCGAATTCTGATCACAACACTGTGGGGATGCTGCAACAGTCATAATTGCTAGAATTGGTCATAAGTCCCTTTTTTTCAGTGCCATTGTAACTTTGGATGGTTACTAATGTAAATCAAGGAGCCCCTGCATACATTTTTGAAATAACAGTTTAATAAAGGTAGTTTGTGTCCTTACAGATGTTTCACAATTTCCCTTCCACCACATTGCATATCTAATACACAGAGATGGAAACACAGTTCTTGTTATACCTCTCTGGAGTGCTTCAATCGCTTGAAAAAGGATTTTTTTTTTTGCCTTTAAGCAAATTTATCAACATATGTGCATTTATTTTTAACAAAGAAATCATATGATAATAAATAATTTCTGCAGAGATCTTTTCCTTGACTTCAATATTACAAAAATAAATATTTCATTAAAGGAAGTAGAACATATTCTGCATCTTATTTCTTGTCAATCAAGTCCACCTATGTTCGATACTTTAGAAATACTTCATAGAGGACGCTAGAGGGCAACACTTGTATAGATAACTTCCCTATTTGGAAACCAAATTGTGAAATGGCAGTAATAAACTTTTATTTCCTTTGTGAGTTGCTCTTAAAATCTATGCAACAAATATCCTTTTGAAAAAGAAAATAAATAATTTCCATAAATAGAGCCTGTGTTTTAGGTTGCGAAAGTTCAAAGGTGTTAAAATATAATAAGCAGATATTAGTTTCTCTAATCCTAAAATTTAGAAGATCAGCACTCTTCATGTTGTTGGCTTTTTGCAAAAATTAGCACTGTAGTTTTCAAAATGGGAAGCTGTCCAGCTAAAAGAATAGGAAGACATGTGGTAATTTCTTTTTCTGAAAAAAATTAAATCTTTTTGTGAATAGGCCAGGAGGCAGAAACTATTATGAATGAGCAGAACTTAAACTTCAGAGTCACTGGCTGTTGGGCACCATATACATTTTAATATTACTATTACTATTATTTTGTAAATTATTTCAACATATAGTTGAAAAGAAGAAAGCGTAGATAATTG